TCTATGAGTCGAATGGTATCCTCTGAAGTCTTATCCTTTGACTTCTTCAGCTTATTCATTGCATCAGTACGAACCCTCCATAAAGAGTCTTTGGCCTTGTTGGTGTTCTGTTTAGCCAGTTTCACCAGCATCTCCCTGTGCTCTCTGGTTACTTTAGGAATAGGTACCCGAATCAGCGTCCTTTCCACTTCTGGGTTCAGATTCATTCCACTTTCTCTTATAGCCTTGATAGCTGCAGCTGTACACTCTGGGAAGCTGGCCATATTCACCAAAATCAACTGTGGCGACTTCATGGTGATCTGGCTAATCTGGTTTAAAGCAAGCTTCCCATCAGTAGTTACCACAGTAATATGATCAAAGGATCCTGGCGAAGTCCTTATATTAAGAGTCTTATTGAAATTATCCTTGAGTACTTCTATCACAGACTTCATTTCTTCATCCACTTCTTCCAAGTTGATTATATCTTCAACCAAAGCTGTGTTAATGTTCACTCTGGTTTGGGATTGTCCTTTCCCTTTGGCTTTGGCTTTCTTGGTTGCAAAAGAATGAATTGGTAGGGCCTGATAAGCCATGTGCTGGCTATGGTCAGGCTGTCTTCCACTCACTGTCTTCAGTGCAATTTCTGAAACAGGTCTGACCAAGACTCCAAGGTAATTACAAGAAGCAGGGTGGATCAAACGGAAGCATTTTAATCCCAAGGCCATGACTAAAAACAATCCTTGTGAATACCAGCTATCGCCCAGGTTACTAAGGGGAAGCCTCGTGCGACCTATTTTTATTTTTTAATTTATGTCATAGAGTATGCAAATAATAAGACATTAGAAGTGATACACATTTTTTAAAACAAGATGAAAAGTATTCAACAAAGGGCAGGCCAAATAGTTCAATGGATTAAAGCACTTGCAAACAGACTGAGGGGCCAGGGGTTCGATCCCCAGGCCTGCCGTGCCGGCACTGCCCCCTGGGTGTGCTGAGATGGCAATTGAGACTGGGTGTGGTGGCATAGACCCATAATCTCAGCTCTTTGGAGGCTGTAACCAGGTGGATCACTACAAGTCTGATCTAGTAGTGAGACCCTGAACACCCTGTAGACCCTCCCTAAAAATAAAAAAAAAAAAAAAGTATTCAACAGTAGTTTTTATATTGCACATTTCTGTTTTCAATATAGTTGTTCAGATTAGATTTTAGTATACAAAATTTGTCAGTGAAAATTTTAAATACTAATAGCTATTTTCAAAAAACTGATAGAAATTAGTAGTACAATCATCTAAGATATCCTATGTATATACTTACATGGTTTTTTACCCCTCCTTTTTTCTTATCTTTTCTCCTTTCTCAGATCCTCATTGTTTAATTCTTAAGTTAGATTTCTTTCCATTTTACTATATCTATGTACCTTTCAGATTTTATTTTTTTTTCAGGTTCTTACACCTGGGTGACAATATGATGTTTATACATGAGAGTCTGATTTATTTCACTCATGAGTACAGCCTTTGTTGCATCCATTTACCTACAAAAGCCTCAAGTTTATCTTTTTATAGCTAATTAATACTCCATTGTATAAAAATACTGCATCTTTCTTAACCATTGCTGAGTTGATGGACATTTGGGTTGTTTCCATGATTTAGCTGTGACAAACTGCTTCTATAAACTTGGCTGCACATATATCATTATGGTATGATGTTTTCAGTTCTTCTGGAAAAATACTTAGAAGGTGAATACCTGGGTTAAATGGGATTTCTAATCCTAGTTTTCTGAGGAATCTCCACACTGATTTCCATAGTGGTTGTACAGTCCACACTTCCACCAACCGTGGAAAAGTGTTCCTTTTTCCCCACAGCCTTTCCAGTGTTTGTTATCAGTTGATTTCTCTATGATGGCCATGCTTTCTGGAGTGAGATGGAGTCTCCGTGTTGTTTTAATTTGCATTTCTCAAATGAGCAGGGCTGTGGAACATTTTTTCATGTATTTATTTGCCATTTGTAGTGTGTATTCATCTTGTATGTCCATTTTTGGGTCTTTGAATTTTGGAGGCCTGATTTATTTTTTAGCTCTTTGTATATTCTAGATAGAAGTCCTTTGTCTGAGTGACTGTTGGTTAAGATCTTTTCCTAACTTGTGGTTTGTCTTGTAACTGTTGATATCTTTTGATGTACAGAAACTTCTCAATAAATGAGATCCAAGTTGTTGATTCTTTGTAATATTTTCCATGCAGTTTGTTTTTGTTCATTAACTCTCTGCCTACCCCTATGTCTTCAAAATTTCCACCTACTTTCTCTTCCAGTAGATTTGGTGTTTCTGTTTTAATGTTTAAATCTTTAATCCATTTTGACTTTACTTCCTCTTCCCTTTCTACTCTCACCCTCAATCTTCTGAACCTCTTCCTACTTGGAAGAAATCTATCCCCTTATTTCCTTTTCCATCTTTTGTTCTTTGTACTTTACCTCACTCAAATGAGAAATACTATATGGCCTTTAAGTTTGTGTATTTGATTTATTTCTTGAAATGTTTTAGTTTATAGGTGCATCCATTTTCCTAAAAATTTGTCTGAAATGTTTTCCTTCTTTATAGCTGAATGGTATTCCATTATGTTCAGATATCACATTTCCTTTCGCCATTCATCTGTTGGTGATTATACAAGCTGGTTAGAGGATTTAGCTATGATAATTTTGCTGTTATAAGTATTAATATACACGTGTCACTGTAGCACGATGTCCTTAACTCTTTGGAGAAGACATCTGAAAGGACAATAGCAGCATCATATGGAATTTCTAATATTAGCACATTGGAAAATATCACTACTGATTTCCACAGTGGTTGTACTACTCCATATTCCCACCAGTAAAGGAGCCTTGTGAAATGTTGTTTTCCTTGACTTCATGGTTATCCTTCTTTCAGTTATAAAATAAAAACTTAACATTGCTTTATTTTGTATTTCTCAAATGGCCAGAAATGTTGGACATTTTTTCATGTTTGTCTGCCACTTCTATTTCTTCTTCTGAGAAGTAACTGTTCATTTCATGATTCAACCTTTATTTTAAAACATCTAGCTTTTTGAGTTCTTTACGGAGTCTCAGTATGTCTTCAACCTGACTAATGGTGGTCAACATTCTTCTCATTCAGTAAATTGCCTCTTCACTGTACTTATAGATTTCTTTCTTATGCAGAATCTCTTTAATTTGATATAATTCCATTTGTTGATTCTTGGTATTATTTCTTGTTTAATTTATGTTCTTTTCAGAAGGTCCATGCCTATATTACTGACTTCAAAGTGATTTTACCTAATTAGTTTTGTGTAAGTTCAATGTTTGTGTTTTAATTTTACATCTTTGATCAATTAATATTTCAGTTTAGTATATGGTGAGAGATATGGATGTTTTCTGCCTTGTTACTGTTGCCCAAGATTACTTTTGCTGTTTTGAGTCTGTTCTGATTTCATATGAACTTTAGGACTGATTTCTTTAGTTCTGTAAAGAATGCTGTTGATATTTTGATTGAAATTTCATTAAATCTATGTAACAGATTTGAAAGTATGTCCACTTTGATAGTATTAGTTGTGCTTGTTCAAAAGCTTGGGATGCTTTGGTTTTCTGATGTTCTCTTTCTTCTCCTTTTACAGAATATTGTAGCTTTTTTTAATATTGTAGCTTTCTATGTACAGATCTTTCACTTCCTTGGTTAAACTCATGCTTGGTGTTTAATTTTTCTTGATTTTGATGAGAGTGATGTTTTTTCCATAATTTCTCATTGATAGAATGCTACTCAGTTTTGTGTGTTGATTTTGTATACTGCTGCATTGCTAAGATTATAATGTGGCAGTTCATTTATATAGTATATTATGTCATATGCATATAATGATAATTTGACCCATTCCTTTCCTATACATATCTCTTTTATTTCTGTTTCCTCCTTGTTCTGGCTAATGTTTGGAATACTATGTTGAATAGAAGTGCTGATAGTGGGCTTCTTTGTCTTATTCCTGATTCTAAAATGGAGGAATGCTTTCAGTTTTTCACAATTTCATATGCTGTTGGCCATTAGTTTATCATAAAAACCTTTTGTCAAATTCATGTATCATCCATCCATACCTTTATTCTTTAGCAATTTTATCATAAAATGGTATCGAATTTTGAAAAATCTCTTTGAGCATCCATTTTTATGATGTTTTTTTCTTCTTGTTCCTGTTTGTGTGATATATTCCATTCACTGATTTTTATATGTTGAATGATCTTTGAGAATCTGGAATGAATGCTAATTGGTCATGATATGTGATCTTTTTATGGTGTTTTGCAATCTATTCTCTGATATCTAGTTGTGGATATTTGCATCTACTTTCATTAAAGAGATTGGCCTGCAGTTTTCTATTTACTTGGCCTTTTTTTGCCTAGTGTTGGAATCAGAGTGCTGCTGGTTCCCATAAAGGAGTTTGAAAACACTCTTTCCATTTGATTTCTTTAAAGAATTTAAGGATTATTAGTGATAGAATGTTCTTACTTGTAGAGTTCCACAATGAAACTGTCAATTTCCAAGTTTTTCTTGATAGGTTTTCTTCTGTTATCTCATTTTATGGGCTGTTTTGTTTTGTTTTGGCTTTTTGTTTTTGTTTTGTTTTGTTTTGTTTTATTATGGAACAGGGGATTGAACTCAGGCCCTTGCATTTGGCAGGGAAGCACTTATTCTACTGAGACATCTCCCGGGCCCTGTTTTGGGTTTCTTAACAATTTTGTATTCTTGGATTAACTTTGGAAATCTGTATGAATCTAGTAATCTTTACATTTGTTCAAGATTTTCCAGCTTTAGAATGTTACAATATGTTTTCCATAAAAGTTAATTTCTTCTGGATTTTGATTGCGGATTTAATAACTTAAACATTTTCATTTCTAATTGCATTGATATGGACTTTTTCTTCT